CTTTCAGATTTTTTTTCCTCAATGCTCTTCTACTTGGTACTTTATTTGACATTTTAATTTGTTTTATTCGAGCGTTACTGATGAGTCATTTGTAGACGAAAAGTGCAGAAAGCTTACAAAATTATAAGCCTGGTATCTTAGATATTTGAAGGTGTGATCAATGTTTGAAGCTGTGATCACCAATTGGGATTAAAAATGTTATCTAATGTTGTCCGGATTTGGTTATACTTTAGATCCTTTTAGATTAAAACAGCTCTTCAACGTTTGTATTAGTTTTTGAATTTTCAAATTTTTTGACCTCGAGCATCACTGAAAAGACATTATTTGTCGAAAAGCGCATCTAGTGCAGTAAAATTGATACCGTTTATGTTATTTATCCTGCTTCTAGTAAGTGTTCTACAAATTACATGTCTGTCCTTTGAACTATTTCCCTCACTACGATTTAAGAACTTATTTTTTAATAAAGCCTACGGAGATTACGGAATTAATAATTTTTGGAGTCTGAAACCCTTTTCTGGAGACTATAGATTAATTACGTGCTTTCATTGGTCCTTTAAATTCGGTTGATAGCTTTAACTTTTTGACTCTACACTTTACTTCCACACAATCTTACCAAACAAATTTCTCATTAAGTTCAATTGTCTTGTGAAAATCTAATTACAAATTAATTTGCTGCAACTCATATAAAACCTTCTTCCGTAATGAAAAATGGAAATATGCAACCTATGATGAGATGATTAAATCTGTTGATTGTCTCCCTGACAATGTCTATGTACTTTTCTGCAATAAAGTGTAAAGACAGGTTGTAGGTATTCCTATGGACACCAGTTGCACCCCTCTAATAACGATCTTGTTCCTGTTTATTTATGAATTGCAGTTTATGTCAAAACTCGGTAAAGTTCGTCTTAATTCCATTTAATAACGCTTATTTTCCCCTTAATGCTTTTTTTCACTTTACTTAATAAAGAATCTTCTAATTCTACTGCGGAAATTTACCCAAGGGATCTAAATATATAATTGACCTTTTCTAGATTTGAATATTTCAGTTTTCGTTCGATGACATAATTAGACATTAGTTGTTTACATCCTGGTTCTTTGGTCTCTTGTGGCTATAGTTGTCTCATCAGCGTACATGCCACGTCTCTTTAATTTTATTTTCATCTATTGGCGTATACATATTGCTAGTGTATTCGAACTTATTAATGAAAACTGATAATTTTTCACCTTGATTTTTGCCGTTTTAGAGATTTCATGGTTCTGTATGTTTTGAACAACCAATATTTTATGTCTTTTTGTACACAAAAAGAAAGTGTTCCATAATAACATGCAAAGATATTCGGTATTTTTGTCATTTTACTTTTTTTTAATTCATCAATTATTTGTTTCTGTTATGGACACAATACCATCAATTTTTCATCAGCTTTGTCATAACGATCGATATGGAATATCGCAAAAGATTTTTTTTCGGAAATTATCAACTTTAACGGTACATTTTGTAAGTAAATGTGTCTTTTATTCCAGGTTTTCAGTTTACTTCAGAATCTGTTCAGGTGAAATGTATTTTGTTAACAACATAGTATGCATTCGGAAATTATACTCCCATTGAAATGATTTTTAGTTAAGCCACTGAACTTAGGTTTCTAAATAGTAAATGTTAAGAGTTTTATGAATGCCATTATGACTTACTTGACCGTAATGTAATATCTGTGTCACATATGACTAAGAATATTTTCCATTTGTCGCAGCCACAATCCCATCCTCCTGTCCTCAGTTATGGTCTATGTAAGAATGCAAACTATCACCAAATTGTTATTTGTTATTAGCAACACAATGGAACAGGAACTTATTGGAGACGCTTATCCTGTCGACGCACCCGGTCTCGATCCTTATGGAGTTCATGTGACGCACCCGGTCTCGTTCCTTGTGGAGTTCATGTGACGCACCCGGTCTCGATCCTTGTGGAGTTCATGTGACGCACCCGGTCTCGATCCTTGTGGAGGTCATGTGATTCCCTCAGTTTTTGTTTGTACCTTGATTTGTTCTTCTTTGTCGACGTACGAGATTTGACAATCGGTAAACTACTATCGCCTGAATTATGGTGGGATTCATGTTTTCAATATCTATTTTTCAGGGTGGTGTTTTATGGACTTATTTTTAGGTGTGCATGTTTTTTTTCCTTAGTACTTAGTCTGTGCTTCTGTGTCTTTATATATTTTTTATAATTATGAATTAAATGAGTTATAAGGTAAACATCAATGGGACAGTAATCAAACAACACAAAAAATAGAAAAGTCACATATGTGTCAACTTAAAGTCAACAAATGACATGTATTTATACCATATGTGACGATCTAATTTTGTATTTCATTAAAAAAATCATCTGCTTATTTATCATTATACATAAGAAATATATGACAGATACAGTAAAAATGGTATTTCAGGATCCGCACTTTGTATACACTGTGAATCCATTTGTTCAATAGTTTCCTTTATATACTAGTCAACAAAAGAAACGATACAAGGCAATATATATAAATATATATATAAACAGTCTAAATTGAAAACAACGTTCAAACCTATGATTGCGTTGGATAAAAACCGCAATTTTTATACATGTGCATGCAAAACAAATTTCTTGTTAGAGGGGTCTAAATACAGCACAAACAATATTTTACAAAAGACCAAAAAAGTGAAAAAGTATATTTTAACAAAACGCATTTGACTAACAGGTCGAACAACAAATGTTCTTAAACCCTGCTGACTGCCATTGGCGATTGCCAAATAAACGGATCACCGATGTTACAAATGGATCTTAATTATAAATTAAATACTAAACAGAAAACAATAAATTTGCGGAAAAGATGGTATTCCGTAAACAAAAGGTGCAAAGGTTTTTGTACAACATATCCGGATTTCGACAATTAATGTCTCTTCAGTGATGTTAGGAATCGAAACGGTATTTGGAAAGCCATACAATTTACCTCAATTTGGGATAGACTCTTGAATTTTGAGGAGTCAAAATAGGATGAACGGATCATATAAACCTGAAGGCAAATATAATACAAGCCCAAACGAAAAAATATAAACAGTCTAAATTGAAAACAACGTTCAAACCTATGATTGCGTTGGATAAAAACCGCAATTTTTATACATGTGCATGCAAAACAAATTTCTTGTTAGAGGGGTCTAAATACAGCACAAACAACATTTTCCAAAAGACCAAAAAAGTGAAAAAGTATATTTTAACAAAACGCATTTGACTAACAGGTCGAACAACAAATGTTCTTAAACCCTGCTGACTGCCATTGGCGATTGCCAAATAAACGGATCACCGATGTAATAAATGGATCTTAATTATAAATTAAATACTAAACAGAAAACAATAAACTTGCGGAAAAGATGGTATACCGCAAACAAAAGGTGCAAAGGTTTTTGTACACCATATCCGGATTTCGACAATTAATGTCTCTTCAGTGATGTTAGGAATCGAAACGGTATTTGGAAAGCCATACAATTTACCTCAATTTGGGATAGACTTTTGAATTTTGAGGAGTCAAATAAGGATGAACGGATCATATAAACCCGAAGGTAAATATAATACAAGCCCAAACGAAAAAATATAAACAGTCTAAATTGAAAACAACGTTCAAACCTATGATTGCGTTGGATAAAAACCGCAATTTTTATACATGTGCATGCAAAACAAATTTCTTGATACAGCACAAACAACATTTTCCAAAAGACCAAAAAAGTGAAAAAGTATAATTTAACAAAACGCATTAGACTAACAGGTCGAACAACAAATGTTCTTAAACCCTGCTGACTGCCATTGGCGATTGCCAAATAAACGGATCACCGATGTAATAAATGGATCTTAATTATAAATTAAATACTAAACAGAAAAGAATAAACTTGCGGAAAAGATGGTATACCGCAAACAAAAGGTGCAAAGGTTTTTGTACACCATATCCGGATTTCGACAATTAATGTCTCTTCAGTGATGTTAGGAATCGAAACGGTATTTGGAAAGCCATACAATTTACCTCAATTTGGGATAGACTTTTGAATTTTGAGGAGTCAAAATAGGATGAACGGATCATATAAACCCGAAGGCAAATATAATACAAGCCCAAACGAAAAAATATAAACAGTCTAAATTGAAAACAACGTTCAAACCTATGATTGCGTTGGATAAAAACCGCAATTTTTATACATGTGCATGCAAAACAAATTTCTTGATACAGCACAAACAACATTTTCCAAAAGACCAAAAAAGTGAAAAAGTATATTTTAACAAAACGCATTTGACTAACAGGTCGAACAACAAATGTTCTTAAACCCTGCTGACTGCCATTGGCGATTGCCAAATAAACGGATCACCGATGTAATAAATGGATCTTAATTATAAATTAAATACTAAACAGAAAACAATAAACTTGCGGAAAAGATGGTATTCCGTAAACAAAAGGTGCAAAGGTTTTTGTACAACATATCCGGATTTCGACAATTAATGTCTCTTCAGTGATGTTAGGAATCGAAACGGTATTTGGAAAGCCATACAATTTACCTCAATTTGGGATAGACTTTTGAATTTTGAGGAGTCAAAATAGGATGAACGGATCATATAAACCCGAAGGCAAATATAATACAAGCCCAAACGAAAAAATATAAACAGTCTAAATTGAAAACAACGTTCAAACCTATGATTGCGTTGGATAAAAACCGCAATTTTTATACATGTGCATGCAAAACAAATTTCTTGATACAGCACAAACAACATTTTCCAAAAGACCAAAAAAGTGAAAAAGTATGTTTTAACAAAACGCATTTGACTAACAGGTCGAACAACAAATGTTCTTAAACCCTGCTGACTGCCATTGGCGATTGCCAAATAAACGGATCACCGATGTAATAAATGGATCTTAATTATAAATTAAATACTAAACAGAAAACAATAAACTTGCGGAAAAGATGGTATTCCGTAAACAAAAGGTGCAAAGGTTTTTGTACAACATATCCGGATTTCGACAATTAATGTCTCTTCAGTGATGTTAGGAATCGAAACGGTATTTGGAAAGCCATACAATTTACCTCAATTTGGGATAGACTCTTGAATTTTGAGGAGTCAAAATAGGATGAACGGATCATATAAACCCGAAGGCAAATATAATACAAGCCCAAACGAAAAAATATAAACAGTCTAAATTGAAAACAACGTTCAAACCTATGATTGCGTTGGATAAAAACCGCAATTTTTATACATGTGCATGCAAAACAAATTTCTTGTTAGAGGGGTCTAAATACAGCACAAACAACATTTTCCAAAAGACCAAAAAAGTGAAAAAGTATATTTTAACAAAACGCATTTGACTAACAGGTCGAACAACAAATGTTCTTAAACCCTGCTGACTGCCATTGGCGATTGCCAGATCACCGATGTAATAAATGGATCTTAATTATAAATTAAATACTAAACAGAAAACAATAAACTTGCGGAAAAGATGGTATACCGCAAACAAAAGGTGCAAAGGTTTTTGTACACCATATCCGGATTTCGACAATTAATGTCTCTTCAGTGATGTTAGGAATCGAAACGGTATTTGGAAAGCCATACAATTTACCTCAATTTGGGATAGACTTTTGAATTTTGAGGAGTCAAAAAAGGATGAACGGATCATATAAACCCGAAGGCAAATATAATACAAGCCCAAACGAAAAAATATAAACAGTCTAAATTGAAAACAACGTTCAAACCTATGATTGCGTTGGATAAAAACCGCAATTTTTATACATGTGCATGCAAAACAAATTTCTTGATACAGCACAAACTACATTTTCCAAAAGACCAAAAAAGTGAAAAAATATAATTTAACAAAACGCATTAGACTAACAGGTCGAACAACAAATGTTCTTAAACCCTGCTGACTGCCATTGGCGATTGCCAAATAAACGGATCACCGATGTAATAAATGGATCTTAATTATAAATTAAATACTAAACAAAAAACAATAAACTTGCGGAAAAGGTGGTATACCGTAAACAAAAGGTGCAAAGTTTTTTGTACAACATATCCGGATTTCGACAATTAATGTCTTTTCAGTGATGTTAGGAATCGAAACGGTATTTGGAAAGCCATACAATTTACCTCAATTTGGGATAGACTCTTGAATTTTGAGGAGTCAAAATAGGATGAACGGATCATATAAACTCGAAGGCAAATATAATACAAGCCCAAACGAAAAAATATAAACAGTCTAAATTGAAAACAACGTTCAAACCTATGATTGCGTTGGATAAAAACCGCACTTTTTATACATGTGCATGCAAAACAAATTTCTTGATACAGCACAAACAACATTTTACAAAAGACCAAAAAAGTGAAAAAGTATATTTTAACAAAACGCATTTGACTAACAGGTCGAACAACAAATGTTCTTAAACCCTGCTGACTGCCATTGGCGATTGCCAAATAAACGGATCACCGATGTAATAAATGAATCTTAATTATAAATTAAATACTAAACAGAAAAGAATAAACTTGCGGAAAAGATGGTATACCGCAAACAAAAGGTGCAAAGGTTTTTGTACACCATATCCGGATTTCGACAATTAATGTCTTTTCAGTGATGTTAGGAATCGAAACGGTATTTGGAAAGCCATACAATTTACCTCAATTTGGGATAGACTTTTGAATTTTGAGGAGTCAAAATAGGATGAACGGATCATATAAACCCGAAGGCAAATATAATACAAGCCCAAACGAAAAAATATAAACAGTCTAAATTGAAAACAACGTTCAAACCTATGATTGCGTTGGATAAAAACCGCAATTTTTATACATGTGCATGCAAAACAAATTTCTTGATACAGCACAAACAACATTTTACAAAAGACCAAAAAAGTGAAAAAGTTTATTTTAACAAAACGCATTTGACTAACAGGTCGAACAACAAATGTTCTTAAACCCTGCTGACTGCCATTGGTGATTGCCAAATAAACGGATCACCGATGTAATAAATGGATCTTAATTATAAATTAAATACTAAACAGAAAACAATAAACTTGCGGAAAAGATGGTATACCGCAAACAAAAGGTGCAAAGGTTTTTGTACACCATATCCGGATTTCGACAATTAATGTCTCTTCAGTGATGTTAGGAATCGAAACGGTATTTGGAAAGCCATACAATTTACCTCAATTTGGGATAGACTTGAATTTTGAGGAGTCAAAAAAGGATGAACGGATCATATAAACCCGAAGGCAAATATAATACAAGCCCAAACGAAAAAATATAAACAGTCTAAATTGAAAACAACGTTCAAACCTATGATTGCGTTGGATAAAAACCGCAATTTTTATACATGTGCATGCAAAACAAATTTCTTGATACAGCACAAACAACATTTTCCAAAAGACCAAAAAAGTGAAAAAGTATAATTTAACAAAACGCATTAGACTAACAGGTCGAACAACAAATGTTCTTAAACCCTGCTGACTGCCATTGGCGATTGCCAAATAAACGGATCACCGATGTAATAAATGGATCTTAATTATAAATTAAATACTAAACAGAAAACAATAAACTTGCGGAAAAGGTGGTATACCGTAAACAAAAGGTGCAAAGTTTTTTGTACAACATATCCGGATTTCGACAATTAATGTCTTTTCAGTGATGTTAGGAATCGAAACGGTATTTGGAAAGCCATACAATTTACCTCAATTTGGGATAGACTCTTGAATTTTGAGGAGTCAAAATAGGATGAACGGATCATATAAACTCGAAGGCAAATATAATACAAGCCCAAACGAAAAAATATAAACAGTCTAAATTGAAAACAACGTTCAAACCTATGATTGCGTTGGATAAAAACCGCAATTTTTATACATGTGCATGCAAAACAAATTTCTTGATACAGCACAAACAACATTTTCCAAAAGACCAAAAAAGTGAAAAAGTATATTTTAACAAAACGCATTTGACTAACAGGTCGAACAACAAATGTTCTTAAACCCTGCTGACTGCCATTGGCGATTGCCAAATAAACGGATCACCGATGTAATAAATGGATCTTAATTATAAATTAAATACTAAACAGAAAACAATAAACTTGCGGAAAAGATGGTATACCGCAAACAAAAGGTGCAAAGGTTTTTGTACACCATATCCGGATTTCGACAATTAATGTCTCTTCAGTGATGTTAGGAATCGAAACGGTATTTGGAAAGCCATACAATTTACCTCAATTTGGGATAGACTCTTGAATTTTGAGGAGTCAAAATAGGATGAACGGATCATAAACCCGAAGGCAAATATTATACAAGCCCAAACGAAAAAATATAAAGTCTAAATTGAAAACAACGTTCAAACCTATGATGCGTTGGATAAAAACCGCAATTTTTATACATGTGCATGCAAAACAAATTTCTTGTTAGACGGGTCTAAATACAGCACAAACAACATTTTCCAAAAGACCAAAAAAGTGAAAAAGTATATTTTAACAAAACGCATTTGACTAACAGGTCGAACAACAAATGTTCTTAAACCCTGCTGACTGCCATTGGCGATTGCCAAATAAACGGATCACCGATGTAATAAATGAATCTTAATTATAAATTAAATACTAAACAGAAAACAATAAACTTTTATATATAAGTACGTCTGAACCAGTGACAACTCTACACCAGATTTATCCATCGGATCACCAGCAGTGATGGTGATACATGGCTGTGTACATTCTGTATATACAACTCGTCTAAACATCAGCCCAACAATGTTAGATCTGTAAATTTGCTTTCGCAAATTTTTTGTTCTTTCCTCGCCGGGATTCGAACTCATGCTACTGAGATATCGTGACACCAAATCGCCTGCACTGTATCCGACGCGCTAGACCACACGACCACCTAGGCTTCATAATAAAGCTTTCGGTGGCCGGGTGTTACCTTTCCTCGTCAATTTTAATCTAGCGTCGTAATACAGTACATGATATATAAGGCATGAAGATGGAATTGTTACGGATCAGCTGAAATATCTATTGTAAAGGATCCTTCAAATTAATGCAATATACAGTCAGCTGATCTGTAACAATTCCATTTTCATGCCTTATATATCATGTACTGTATAACGACGCTAGATTAAAACTGACGAGGAAAGGTAACACCCGGCCACCGAAAGCTTTATTATGAAGCCTAGGTGGTCGTGTGGTCTAGCGCGTCGGATACAGTGCAGGCGATTTGGTGTCACGATATCTCAGTAGCATGAGTTCGAATCCCGGCGAGGGAAGAACATAAAATTTGCCAAAGCAAATTTACAGATCTAACATTGTTGGGCTGATGTTTAGACGAGTTGTATATATATATATATATATATAATAGAAAAAATTCAAATAGAATCCGTATGCTGGTAACATATAAGAAAATTAATATAAGATAATGACGGTTTCAATTCATCACTTTTACTAGCGCTTTCACTGCTTTCGCAGATCTTCAGGTAATGTGACTTGTATACATAAATGTTATAAAACAATTGATTGAACGCTTTCACTGCTTTCACAGATCTTCAGGTAATGTGACTTGTATACATAAATGTTATAAAACAATTGATTGAACGTCAATCAATTGTTTTATAACATTTATGTATACAAGTCACATTACCTGAAGATCTGTCAGTCAATTGTTTTATAACATTTATGTATACAAGTCACATTACCTGAAGATCTGTGAAAGCAGTGAAAGCGCTAGTAAAAGTGATGAATTGAAACAGTCATTATCTTATATTAATTTTCTTATTACTATATATATATAAAAATATTAATTTTCGCGAACCATTTAGGTCACGGAAATTCCATGTTTTGCCATCAGTAAGGAGAGTTGTACAAATAATGTGAATACACAGAACCCCGATCCAATTCATCTTTTGCTAAAAATATTTATCATTTTCTGTTTTATATCTCCTAACATCATTCCATTTTTCTCTAATTTCGATTAAAATATGCCAAAACCTGCAGTAAAAATAGATGTATGCCCCAAATAAACATTCCCCGATTGGTTGAACTACTATGGCGTCAATGTAAAGCAACGCAAGCCTCGATGTAAAGCACACGCTTCCCAAGAGTAAGGAGAGTTGTACAATAATGTGAATTCACAGACCCCCAATCCAATTTATCTTTTGCTAAAAGTGTTCATCATTTTCTGTTTTGTATCTACCAACAACATTCCATTTTTCTATAATCCCGATTTAAACATGTCGAAATCTGCAGTAAAAATAGATGTATGCCCCAAGTAAACATTCCCCGATTGGTTGAAAAGCTGTGGCCTCGATCTAAAGCAACGCAAGCACACGCAAAAATTTCCGTTGATATGTTGAACTTCGACCCCGAGATTCAGCCGATTCACATAGAGATTTTCTTGCGCTCAAATGTAATTCTAAGTGAAGTATACTGGTAAAGTAAATTATATTCTTTTACAGAAATATTTACACATTTTATCATTAATGTATTGTCATGCTACATCAGTCATTATTTACATGTAAATTAAGTCTGAAAAAAATGACTCAACTCTTTGTGTAATTTTTCCCCAATTTTTGAAACATGCATAATTTAAAGAGCATTTGCTTCCCTTGAAACCCCCCCCCCCCCCCCTACAAATTGCCTAAAACTCATACTCATATCCGAGATTACTCTGATGTCCAACATCTGTTTTTGCAATTCCGGCATTTTAACTCTATTTTCAAATTGAAAACACTCGGCCATTCAGCTTATTTGCATCATAAATGAACGAGGTGTTAGATTATGTTTTCCTATTGAATAAGGGTCATTTTCATAAATCAGCTCTCATAATGCATTGTAAATTACTTTTTCTGTTGGTCATGTCACAATCTTTTAAAGTTAAAAGTAGAAATGCCAGTATTGATGTGTCAATGTGAAAACTGTCCAAATATGAGAAAATAGTGGGTGGCAGGTCGATTAAACTTACTTAAATGAAGAGAAAAATGAACTAATTGAGGCTCGATTTATATAGATTATGTTTTCCTATTGAATAAGGGTCATTTTCATAAATCAGTTCCCATAATGTTGGTCATGTGACATTCTTATAAAGTGAAAGTTAAAATGAGGGTGGTAATGGGGGTACCTTCATGACGAATAACGGTAAAAAATCTTGCCAAATGACGTTAACGGTAATTTTTGGTGCATGACGATAAAATGAAGACTTTCTTCAAGACAATAAAAAAATCGACAGATTTTGACGAATAACGTTAATTTTTTCCCAAAAATAACGGTAACGATAATTATTTGAGACCTCTGACGAATCACGATAAGGATATGTTGACGAATCACAGTAAAATGTTAACATATTTGACGCTAACGGTAGCCGAAAATGACCGTTTGACGCCTGACGTTAAAGGGCATTCATACCCTCTAAAATGCCAGTATTGATGGCAGAGGCCGATTTGGGGGGGGGGGGCCGGGCTGGGCCCCCCCTTTTGTGGGAAAAAATTGGTTGATTATATAGGGAATCACTGAAGCATGACTGGAGCGGGCCCCCTCTTAGGCAATCGGTGGGCCCCCTCTTATGAAAATTTCTGGATCCGCAGCTGGATGGGTCAATGTGAAAACTGTCCAAATATGAGAAGATAACGGGTGGCAGGTTGATCAAACTTACTTAAATGAAGAGAAAAATGAATAAATTGAGGCTTGATTTATATGAATCCAGTCGCCTCCAGAAGCAACGAAGCAGCACATCCACTTTGGACGGGCAAATATCATCTATCTGATATTGGACCAGCTGAAGTCCCACTGCCCTAGCTGGTGTCGCAAAACAGTCGTTGGAGGTTAGAGTAATCTGCGACTACAAAACTCAATTCCAATGACAAAAATGCTCTAATCTTAAATTGAAAGCATTGGAAAAGTAAACTGTAAATCATAATTTTGACAATGACCACAATTTGTTTTAGTTCAATGTACATGTAATAATATGCGGGATAATACATAAACTTAATACTGCTTCAAGGTTTGTCAATGTAGAAATAAAATAATTATGTTGCTAACTTAGCGAGCTACCATGTGATTTTTAGGGGGGGGGGGGGGGGTCTAGGATGAAATTTGAAAAAAGGCAGGATGAGACAATATGAAAAAAAAGGCAGGAATGCCGCAGGATGACAATTTATGTAAAAACAAGTCGGGATAAACTAATAGAAAAAAAGGCAGGACAAAAAAGAGTGAAAAATAAAAAGGCAGGACAGATTACATCTCGAACTAAAAAAAAATTGCAGGACAAAATTTTTCATCCTAGCCCCCCCCCCCCCCCCCCCCCCTTTTCCCCCATAAAAATGGAAAGGAAGCTCCCTTAAAGTGTTTCCTTCAGAGGGTGTTGGCCTGAAAAGGTACCCTGCAGTTTTCATACGCCATGTTCATGAGAAATATTATGGTATGCCTTTATCCGTCTGTCTGCCCTGATCTGTCTGTTTCTAGCATGTTGTTCACTAACTCAGTAATATTTTCACCAATTTGCATGAAACTCTGGTTAATTGATTATATCTACTGACGTGAGCTCCCTTTTAGATTTTAAGGAATTTTATAATATACATTTTCAAAATGTGAGGTTTTATTCATTAAAAAAGGGGGATTTTCATGTTAACGCCCATTAACTCTAAAAATGCTTTGTTCACTAACTCTTCAACGCTTTCACCAATTTGCATGAAACTGTTGTGAATTGATTATTTTATAAATTTTAGGTTTCCAGTTTCAGAGTTATATGGGATTATATTCATGTATTTATGTGAGCTCCCTTCAGATTGTTTTGGAATTTTAAAATTTACATTATCCAGTTACAACGTAAGGGGTTTTATTCATTCAAAAAGGGGGATTTCCATGTTTTCGGACATTAACTCGAAAATGCTGTAAGCAGTTGTCATTTGTCATGAAACTTTGGTTAATTGTTTATATATATCTATTGATGCAAGCTCCCTTTCAATTTAATAAATTGTGGAATTTTATTCATAAAAAAGGATGAAACTTTGGTGAATTGCTTATATCTATATTGATGTAAGCTCCGTTTAGAATTTTATAAATTTTACATTTTACATTTCTGAGTGATGGGGTTTTATTCATTAAAAAAGGGGTGATTTTCCAGTTTTCGGACAAAATCTCAAAAATGCTGTCAGCAATTCTCATGAAACTTAAGTGAATTGTTTATATCTTTACAGCACAGTGTATTGCACAACAGCAAGAAATCTTTATTTCATCACATTCTAATGAAGTAACAAGCTTATTTTGCCGAAAGTTAGAATGATTTGATCTACGCTTGAGTAACAAGTAGCAGAAGTGATAAAAAAATTGTCTTTATGAAAATAACATGCAACCAACTTTAAAATCAATGCTTTAACCTCCTAAAGAAAAAAAATCGTTTATGTCTTTGAATTTCTTTACTTTCAAATGAAAAATTGCTGTTTCATCGACTTGGTAAATGTTGAATATTGCCGATGATGAAAGCGACTGAATTTGAGTATCGTAAACAACAGGGCGACTAGATTTCGCTTTTGAAGGTCGGTCAAAGCGAAGTGGCGACCGGGAAAGCGACTTTGTCGCCCCAGTAGCATGGTAACGTGAGCCCTGCACATTGCTTATTAGTTTTAAACACAGTCCTGTAATATTTTTTATTCTACTTTGAATATTGCCTGCTTATTTCAGCAACTATTCTTACAAAACAATCCTCTATTTATCCTAGGTGTTGCACTCAGTATTGTTGATTATATTTATATGTATATGTAGTAAAGTGAATGCAACCCCCTTTTTGAAGGTAAGTAACAGTTAACAAACTTTATCACTTATCAGTAGTTTAGAGTGGTTTAAAAAAAGATCTAATAGATGTTACATGCATTATGCCTTCCTCTCAAAAAGTTTGTTTGTGTTTTAAAGTGGTTATTTAGCAATGTAATTTTTTCCCTCAGTATTAACATTAATTTGGAAGTAACTTAAAGGATTTCAGTTAACCAAAATTATTTCACGCCTAATTTATATAAACAAATCCTACGTCGATATATAACATGTACAACAATCAAACATCAACCCACGCCAAACTGGACGTAATTGAAAGACATCTAGAGGTCAATATACAGTCTCGAACAAAAGACAAAATAAGGAAAAATATAGCGAATTTTTGAGAAGAATTATTATTACATGTATATTTGCAATATTTAAAATGCATAGTTCAAAATCTTTTGAGTTTTAGGTTCCTCCTACCATTTTAGAAAACTGGGATTTCATTGCAGCTAGTCTATTAGATAACATTTTATAGTTTTGAATGTTTCTCCATCAGTTAACTAAAATTATATATAGGTGGAGGTATGTTCTTATTTCTGACAGAGGGGTACTCAACCTATATCAATTTGTGCATGAAGCGATTGATAGTTGCTAGATACTGAATAATTTTACCACAAATTTGTGAAAGTTTTAACCGGTGTTTTTACTTAAAATATGTTAATAAAGTTCATGTCTTTTTCAGGACTTCTGATCCAACCATATAGAATGGCATGTTTGTGAGATATGGTTTTGGCCAGTAGGATGTTCATGAAGGACCTGTAGTACAAAGTATATCACTGGATTGAGCTCATTGTCTAAGTGTATTATTAAAGTGCTTTGCTTTGAGCTCAGTTCATTGTTATGCAATTCATTCTTTGTGAAATAAAGATTTGACAGACAACTCTCATGTACAAGGAATTGTCAAAGTAGTATCCATTCTATGTACAATGTAAGTAATAGGGAGATAAAAGCATTTTATTTAGATTTGAACCAAACATTTTTTGTCCATTAGCCAAACTAAAAAAAAAAAGCACAAATTCACCAAACAATGCTACTGGCGCTACTAGCAATATGATGCTAGGTTCTTTTGTTACACTTTATTTTTTTACATCTGTACTGCCTACTTGCGACTCAGTCCTGAGTGTAAATGGTCATTCAGTATGTTAAGAAAAAGACCAAAATTTATAAGGCCTATCTGGCCTAATTGATTTCTAAAATATATTTCATTGTACATGTTCAACATTTATCATTCATTTGTTTATTTCTTAATTTGTGTGAATTAACAGTAAATGTTAATTACTACACTTTCATACCATAACAAAACTGCCTTACTGTATTGGTATCACTTATATTTGTAGCCATATAACCAAAAAAACTGAAAAGAGAATACTTTTGCAATAGCTTTTTCATATTGAATACTAAAACTTTTTAGATATTTAGACATATTAAGTAGATGTTCATAATATCCACTTGACATTTTATCAATTGACTTCTGTAGTTAGTTATGAGTCTTTGAAGCATGCTCACAAAGGTTCTTTTGTTGATATCATTTTCATACTGGTCAAAACTTTTTTTTGCTTTGACCAGCTTTGGAGGAGATATTTTCAAAGAATTAATAAAAAATAACACAGAAATTCACTTTCTAGCTCATCTAGCCCCAATCATCATGTCAGGCATTGTCATTACTAAAAACATTAAATAAAATTGAGAATGGAAATGGGGAATGTGTCAAAGAGACAACAACCCGACCATAGAGCAGACAACAGCCGAAGGCCACCAATGGGTCTTCAATGCAGCGAGAAACTCCCGCACCCGGAGACGTCCTTCAGCTGGCCCCTAATCAAATATGTATACTATTTCAGTGATAATGGACGTCATACTAAACTCAAAATTATACACAAGAAACTAAAATTAAAAATGATACAAGACTAACAAAGGCCAGACGCTCCTGACTTGGGACAGGCGCAAAAATGCGGCGGGGTTAAACATGTTTTTGAGATCTCAACCCTCCCCCTTTACCTCTAGCCAATGTAGAAAAAACAAACGTACAACAGTACGCACAGTAAAACTCAGTTTAAGAGAAGTCCGAGTCCGATGTCTTCTAAACTGAGAAACAATTTCCACATTTAACCGAAATCTTTTACTTATGATACTGACAATCCCCCACAAAGTAATATAAATAGAACCATACAAATAGTAAGCAAATACATGTTCTCAGATACCATCTCCCATATAACAAAATCACATTAAGAAAAAAATGAACCTATTATGTGTTCCTCTCCTAGCTACAAAATGTATCCAAAATCAAAGATGCGGAACATATATATACTATCATAATCATTTGGTAATTAATGCAATTAGTATCTCTTCCATGCCCGTGTTGAACATAAAAAACTAAATATTACATAAACAACACTCCTAATGCTCATGTTGGTTGTCATTGTGCAACACAGTTAATACATAGAAAACATAAAACATAGAACTCCTTTTGTCATATAAAACACTGTCAAACATCCAATCATACTATCCACACTGATCTGTGTCCACACTTGTATAAATATAATATATCCAACGCAATCATAGGTTTGAACGTTGTTTTCAATTTAGACTTGTATATATATATATAATGAAATTGAATACACTGTACCAAGGTAAATAATTGCCCAATTAGTATAATGTTTACAGAGTGTTATTTTCTTATCAAAACCATTGATTTACGGCAAATACGCGATTTTTTTTTTGCAATTTTTGTTATTACAAAAATCGTATTTTCACCCAAAAATTCAAAAATCGATATTAGAACTTAAAACTTTAAACTTAAACATAGTCTTTTTAAAATTTTGAATGCCTTTGCAGATATTCGAATACTTAATTCTCATCTTCGAAATCAAGTGCCGACTTTTGTCATCATTTTCCGCAATATAAATTTGACACCTGTGTTCAATAACACAGTATTTTCTCACTTTCCAATTTGGTCAGATTCTTTTAATCACATGCATTTGCTGTGCAAATGAATGTTTTTCATTGGATAATTTAACAGTTTTTCCTATTTATTATATTTTATGATGAATTGGAGTTCAAACTTGTGTATCGTTACTTTTGTTGACTAGTATAATATATAATAAAAAAGAAACTTTTATATGACTTTAATCACGAAGTGCTGATTCCTCGGCATATGATAACCACATATAGTTTATTTGTGTTGAAGTCAACCATAGATCTTTGTATTGTTTTTCACTGATAATACTAATTAACTCAGAATAACACTTTATTTAAACTAAAAACGTATTTGTGTAACCGCTTGATCTAAGCAATATAAGACATATAGGCGTTTCCCTACACAAATAAAAATAAAGTGTCTTAATTAACATTATTTGAATTTCTAGTTTTATTAAAGTGCAAATAAAGTATACATTGTATATAAATATACGTGATACATATGGGCAACCTACCAGGAAGATAACATGATATATAGAAAGTTACAAGTAGATCTTATTTTCAACCACTACCGGTCTCATGTAAGTATATTGAATAATAATTTTTTTTTTATTATTTCGTTTTGCTCTCATTCTGATGAGTATCAATATAAAGCCTCTTACTATCATAGATGAAATTATATTATTATCTAACTATTTGGTCGTATAGCTCTTTACTAGCGTGGTTAGGTATTTATCAATCTGACTTTTTAAAGTTTTGGCTATGAGCGTTCATGATGAAGAAAAATCCAGGAATGCGCTTCTGACCCATAATATTGATTAATCGAACGGTACGCCCGCTCAAGAGGTGTCCATTTGACCATGTTAGATGTATAAATACGCAGACACCTCCGGGGTCGTAATGGGGATATACTACATCTAATGAAAGGAAAGTTCAACATTACCTGCAAGTTAAGAGAATCCTTGCAATAAACCGTTGAGGGTAGTCAAGGTAGTTAAAAAACTCTTGTCGTTGAGGGTCTGTGCATGGCCTGTTGCAAGGCAAAATGTTCGTCCCTGTTTTACATATCCATCTTTTTCCAACAACAGTTTGAATTTTGTGCCCGTCATCCCGGTAGGTCTCATTTTCTGAACTATTGGAATTTATTGTTAAATTCTCCCCGTCCTGCATATGATTTAAATCTATGCTACTTGACCTTGAAAAAATCACATTTAATTAATTGCATTTAAAATATTTAGTCACGAAAAAACACACATTTCTTAGTCTAAAATATACATATATGATTCAAGGCCGACTAAGTAATCTGTAACGAACACACTTGAAACCATTTTAGTAACGTAGAAAATTGTGTAAATAAGCCTTTTATATAAGTATTACCAAAACTTGTTTTATGGCCCTTAAAGTAAGTGAATATTTATGTTAACCAAAATGTAACATCATCTTAATGTTAAATTTTTTTTTAGAATTTGTTAAGTGTAGCAAGCTTTACGATTTTAGTAAATTGCGATTATATTTCATTCAAAAAATCTTGACAAATACCGACAAAGGCAAAGGGTTTATTATTTATCAACTTTCCATGCATGCTTTCGATGTGGTAAGATATTAATGATGAGTTCCGACAAAATCGATTTAAATGATTTTAAAATTATCTTTTTACGCAGATCTGGGCTCTCTGTCATAAAACTTTACTCAGTATTCGAAGTACAAAATTAGTGCTTGATACACCAAATCCAGTATTCTGAATGGTTGAATTCTGAATCTGAGTACGGCAATCGTACTCGAAATTGTTATGACCACAAGGCCAGCTTTCACGCAGTTAAAACTTTGGGAGTTATATTAGGGCCTAAAAGGGATACTTAAAATTATTAGAAAGAGGAGATGCATAGCTATATGTCATTGAAGACGTATTTTAGGGTAAGAGGAGATAATTTAACAAACTCAATCTCCAAAACTATATGGATAATCATACACTTTTATAATACCTATTCCTATGAAGTATTAGGGAGTCGATTGATGGCGTGATCGCTAAAAATACGATCGCTAAAAACACGATATTACAACACAATACACTACAAGACTTTGACAATCTTCAAAAAAGAATGGCATTAAGGTTCATATTTGTCCAAAGGAAAAGGAGTTTTTGATAACTTCTTCATATTTGCTCATAATATAGGATACTATATTTCATAACAGCATGCAATTTGATTTATCGAATAGGCAATTAAATGTGCGCATATTTGACGAAAATAAAGAAGATGTCGTTTTTATGCAGTTTTCCAACCATATTTTTATTCTGGAAACATTGGCCGCAGCAAAATAACACCAAATATTATAATGAAGCTTTCTTATAGCCATTTACATAATCCTACCAAATTTAAAGTTGTTAAATTGACGCCTTATCCTTTTAAAATATAAAATAAACTAAGAAGGTGGTACAAAACAAGGAAAATAAAGACATTTTACAAAATATGATCCAATTATTGATTTTCTTATAGTTTGTTGCTGTGGTAACTCACCAAATTTTATTTCATTTTCTAGAACACTTGTAAGGTTAGCTATATTAGAACAATATAAGATTATGTATATTAACTTTAAAAGTTGCACTACATTTCGGGTTAAATGTAGACCTTATTGCCTCTACTGCAATCCTTACAAACTTTGGTATCGGCAATGCTTGCGCAATACTGTCATTATATGAATCAGATTTATCAAATTATAACGATATCCAACATACTTAGCTTCATCACATGTATTGCTTTAATAATATTTTAATGTTACACGAATACCTTACACTACAAGTTTATTTTAAGTAAAAAGAAAATAACAGAAAACAAGTTGTACCTTGATGATACAAGTAAACTGAAAAAATATGTATTTCAGTTGCGTTTGATGCGCATGTCTGTATTTACTTTTAAAAGAAACACCTGGTAACAAAAGTATTGGGGTTTGGCAATGCCATCTGATATCAGCCTTCATAATGGAGATAAATCTTATACCAAGTCACTTTAGATTAGGAAAGTGTGTTGTTACAAACATTCAATAATTGTCCAATAAATACCGTTCAAATGCTGATGATACCTGTGTAATATTGCAGGCTGTAACCTATCTCCAGTAAAATCATACAAACAGCAAGTTGTACAAGAGTGAAATTGAATGTTAGAAATCAATCAAAAGTGCAAACTCCCAAGTATGTGTGCAATAAAAATGAAAGCTTACTCACACGAATACTTCAAGAACACATATTCTTCAGACAGACTTGAAACAGACACACTGAACAAAAATGTCGCAGGATAATTAAATCAAGAGGTATTTAGATATTAATATTGGTCGATTGACTGTCGGTTGCTTTACGTCTATATGAACAAATATAATGATGGTGAGTTGTTATCTTAAACTTGTACGAGAAATTAAGGTTTTAAATGGAAGGAGGTTCTAGAAGGTCAATATTACAACAACAAGACACCACAGCAAATCCAAAAATGTAGGAACGACGAAAAAAATAAATAATGCCACACATGTGTGTTACATATCCGGTACTTTCAACATGTGAGATAAGTTAAATCACAAAAATACTGAACTCCGAGGAAAATTCAAAACGGAAAGTCCCCAACCAAATGGCAAAACCAAAAGCACAAACACATTAAACGAATGGACAACAACTGTCATATTCCTGACTTGGTACAGAAACGTTAGCTTTCTGTTTGAAGAAAAAAAAAAAAACTTAGATACACTTCTTATGAAAAGTATTTTATTTAAATTTCAGCAATGGAATCCTTGGCAAAGTTTTTCAATGCAGCGGTAGTTTTGCCCCTTACTGCTGGGGAAGCGTCTGAAAACCATCACAGTACTGACAATTTACGATCGCATGATGGCAGTATTAGCGGACTAATACTACTTTCAAGTGTTTTGGTGATTACCGTTCTTTCTATGTTTGGAGTTCAGTTGGTAGATTCAGAAAAGAACGAAACAATGACGTATTTTACAATTTATTCTTATCTTTGTGTCGTTATTTTCTTAGCAATAGTTGTTTGCATTGCTCATTTAATAAATTATCGACTGAAGCATGCTGATATTTTGACAACAGCTGTAAATGTAAACGCCAACTTCAAAGTGAAATTTTTATTTCTGTGGATTTTTGCAATTGGAAGTATTTTGTTTACGCTAGCAAAAATTATCAGTACAGTTGGCTGTAAAGGGAAAACATTCGAGGAGCGCAAGAAGGACGGTTGCGTAGACAAAAATTCGACTTATGACACTAGTTATGAAATAGCAAAAGTTAGCTTTCATTGCACCGAAATTATTTTTTATGTGATTCAGTCATGGTTTTTACAGTTTTGTATTCGTTGTTGCTTTAAATGCTCATGGAAGAATTACTATAGTTTATTGTTAATAGTACTTGCAAATATTTCTCAATGGGCTCATTATTTTGCTGAAATTTACCAAAACTCAGCAGGCAATAGTAGGAATTGTGCTACAAGTTACAAATGCTACCCACACATTATTTATGAGAAGATTAGGCCGTACGCACATCCACTACAAATGGAATACTTTCTACTTTCGATGATTTTAATTGCTGAACTATGGCCAACAAATCAAAATCATGGTTATGAATTACCTTCTAGCAACCCTGCAACACGTCATGGAAATGAAAATACTCCATTACTTTCTCCTTTAACTCATTTATTACCGATTACCGCATCAATGGAAACTTCTATTGAAAGTAGAAATTTACTTGATAGGCAACCAAAAGGCCGTTCGCTTAATTTAAAAGCCGTTGCGTGTATAACTGTTGGAGTTGTAATAGTTGTCCCGTGTTATATTTTCGGCTCTATTACCATATCAGAAAGAGTGACGAACGTTGGGCGAGAAAATGTGACCAATGGACCAATGTCAGCTATGGAAATTACTGATGTAGCCTACGATATGTTTTTAACTTTATTCGTGATAACATTATTGATAATAAGTTTTTATATGTTTTCACAGTCGTCATCCCTAAAGGCAGTAATGGTAAAACAATATCTCCATTTTCATCACAAGATTATTATTGCAAGTTTTTTAGGTTCCATTGGATATTTTTCACTAGTAGTATTTTCGTGCATATACGAAGGAAAGTCATACTTGTTAATGATTCAGAAGTTTTTAGTATTGATAGAGGTATACCTTCAAATTGTATGTATTCTGCAATTCAATAGTTATTCAAAATATCGGCAGAGTTCAGGGGATTATGTTTATCTTTTACTATCTGTAATCAACCTATGCTATTGGATTGACGACAGTATTTTTGAAGCAACTACTACATACGATAAAGAGATATTAGAAAACGTGTATAGCGCTACCACACAAAAACTTGTATCTCATTTCCTGTTACCTTTTCTAGTTTTCTTTCGGTTTAAATCTTTTATATCATTTTATAGTATATTCCGCCAAATTCCAAAGGATGACGAATGTATATAAAACGTGATAATATAGTACTCATGAATGTTTGATATTCACGATAGAAAATATTTCATCAAACTTTGGTGTACTATGATTTTATTCATTTGTTAATCAGTGCTTTTGCCTCTTTAAAAAAATGTCCTTTTTGCACAATTTTGGATTTTTTGCAGTTTTCTTTTTTTTTTGACAATTTCTTTGTAATGAAAAATGTATACGAATGGAATAATACTTGACCATATGTTTATCCTAGTTGTTTGTGTCTGTAATTACGTGGTTGATGTACTGTGGAAAATCTGGCAAATCCTTTATCATTTTTATTCATCATTATTATAATCTTTGTTAAAATGTTTCCGAAATTCTCCTAAGAGTCTAAAATGGTTTTTTTCTGGAAAAGCGTCCCAGTGCCTGATAGTTATTTCAGTGTTGTTTATAGTATACGTTGACTCGTCAATCTTGTTTTTTTACGGAAGTAGGCGGATCATAGCACTATTTTGGCTGCATCTAGTTCAAAGCGCTTTATTTAAAGAGATATAAGAAAATGTGGTATGAGTGCCAATGAGACAACTCTCCATGAGAACTAATTGCAATACAATAATCAAAACTAAATATTTAAGCATGTTAGGTTTGCTTCAAGAAATGATGTGCCGTATATACATTTTTTAAATTTATGATTTTTTTTCGGTTTCATGCTATAGTTATTTTAGTGATTTTTTAAGGTTTATCTAATAATTACAGTCAGTATTAATATGATACTTATGTGTGAGCTAAGAATAGGCTATGTAAAGTAGTATTATCTTTATTCATTATCATGAATAGTTTAAAACATATATGAAGGTCCCTTAGAATTTATCACAAAATATTGTAAAACATATGTGCTACATGAATGACTGTCATCAAATGTACACTCTCATATTATGATTTATTTTTAAAGTTAAACGGGAAGTCCAGAACGTTAGTCTGTGGCAAATAAATTTAGGAATTATTGTTTAAAATGAAATTGTGCTTTACATTTTAACTGCTACTTTTTACAATATAATAAGAGCTGCTAATATAAACGGTACCAATGTTTCTGCACCTGATTCGCATTTCGACAATTAATGTCTCTTCAGTGATGCTCGAGGCCAAAATATTTCAAAATCCAAAACCTTATACAAATGTTAAAGAGCTAATCAGCCAAATGATTTTATTCTTTAAAATTGATCATACATCGAGAATATACCATTACGGCAATTCAAAACCATGCGTTGAAGAAATAAAACCAACATCCTTACCAAAAGAAAAAAAAGATGACCATATAAATAAAAACCTATCACACTACAAAGAAAACTAATGATCGAGCAACACAAACCCGAGAATAAACGAGTCAACTCGAGCACGAGTCATTATAGTTTAGTAGCTGAAACATAAGCTTTTAAGAATACATATATACCCGTCTGGACCCGGTTGTTCATCTCTTGGTTAAATTTTAACCAAGAGTAGATCCTAACCCTTGGTTAGAATTTAACCCTAGGTTATTTTCTGTTGTTTATCATGTGGTTAAGGTAGATTCACTGTATACCGCCATCTTGGATTGTACAATAGCAGTACACAATTGGTCTAGTTCTTTGCCTAAATCTGCAAATTTTGAGACAGATTTGCAATTAATGTGTAAGAATGTTCATTTGCATAAAGAAAAATAAGTGAGTTATTGCATAATCCAAAATGTTTAAACAAATACCAAATATTTGTGAATTTAGAATCTATTTCTCAACTTAGCCATTTCAGGGGAGATAACTCTTATAGTAAAATTTAAATACTGGAATGATAGTAAAATTTTCATTTTTTACTTGTAGCACACTATTTTTATTTTTATTTTCTTAAAGCAAATAATAAAACCCATCTTCTCATATTTTATTTCAAATTCTATCTCATAGATTTCTTTTTATTCACAGATATGTGTTTTTTCATGAACAATCTATGCAAATCTGGGCAATTTTTCACGATTTGTAGCTTGAAAAATAGCCCGGTGACCCATACTTTTATTATATTTTTGAAAAAAGCATGGTAAAATCTTCATTTTGGCAAAGTTTAAGAAAACTCTATTTGAGAAAATATATACCGATGATCCACCTTGAATTTAACCCTATCTTTAATCCTTGGTTAAATGATTCAGATTTAACCTTGCTTCGAACCTCTTTTAAAATTTTAACCAAGGAATAGTTCCGTCTAAAAATACGATTCCCTGTTTATTACTAGATTGGAATGGTCACTAAATGTTTGATACAACATATTCTTCGTTTTCTACGGCCATTTGTAATCGGAAACTGATTATCACGTTTTACAGTCCTTCCCCCTTTTTTGCCTTGAGGTTTACGTCTACCTAACAGACATTTTCAAATCAACATTTTCTTAACCCTGTCATCTTCTATGTTTATCTATAATAAAATAATTAACGATCAACGAACAACGGAATTTTAACCCTTGGTTACGTAACCCTCAGTTAAAAGATTTAACCCTGGATTATATCTAACCAAGGGTTATATTTGACCGAGAGATGAACAACCTGGTCCTGAAAGTATATTACAACTCACAAGGCCAGGGGAGGAAAATTAAAGTATTTTTTATATTTATTGTTTTCTCTATATTATTTTAATTGTTATATAAATTTCGGAATTCGTTTTAACAAAACTATATCTGTAGGTTATATATTAATTCATAGCCAGTTCAAATAAATAGAAGTTACTATGTGAGCCATAAAAGTGTCCTGTGAAAAAGTGTCCACCGGACACTTTTTCACAGAAAAGGTATATTTAAATGTGTCCGATGTTGTGAAAGAGTGTCCATTCAATCGGACATAATTTCATGATAAAATACTATCAAATTCTGTCTTGAGAAGGTTAATTTTCAATAAGAGGACACTTTTTCACAGTAAAAAATGTCCTTTAAAGGGAGATAAAAAAAAACGTCACTGAAATGTTTTAGCTATATTCAATTTTCTATTATTAAAACAAAACAAAATAAGAACAAGTTATAATTTGATATAAACAAAAATGGAAGGTGTTGAATTCCGAAGCATTTTTAACTATCTTAGCTATAAAGATGTCGACAAAAAGTATCCATCAGCATCAACTGACAATGAGAAAAGAACTATCAGGAGAAAAGCACCCAACTATAAAATAAAAATGATGAACTGTACTTTACAACTATTGACAACTATTGTCCGTGGACACAATTTACTGTGGACATAATTTCATGGCAGACAATATTTAATCCTGTGAGCCATAAAAGTGTCCTGTGAAAAAGTGTCCATATTAAGTTCTATTAAATGTATTACTGTTTTTGTGTGTATTAGTACATGTTTTATAGTACAATTTATGTTCAATTACACATGGTGATGATCACCACATTTATTATGAATTCAATACTCGTGTTTACATGCCATGTTCAAATAGAGACAAAACCCCCATGCCAATTTTAAAACTTCAATTTAGATAAAGAACTGAAGCTATGTATGCATTTTGTAGGTATTGAGAGTTGACACCTTTTCATGTGAAATACTGACCTTTCTATTAAGAACACTTTTTCATATGAAATATTGACCTTTCTTTCAAGGACACTTTTTCACATCTGTGGACACGATTTCATAGGTAAATATCGTCCGGACGATATTTCATAATAACATTATTTCCGTGGACACAAAATACTGTGAAAAAGTGTCCAGTGGACATAATTTCATGGCGGACAATATTAAATCCTACAACTATACTATGTGTGTGCACTAGGGATGCTCAAAGGTATATTTACAAAACAAATAACAAAATAATAAAGAATTGTAAGCTTTTGAAACAGTTTTTTTTTTTACTTGTATTGATGTGTAAATGTAACAAATTCCTACAAAAAACCCATGTTATTCGTTGGTGCCCGTCCGATATTTGTTTTGTTTGTGACTGAATTGATCCTGCCATTGTTTAGCATTTAATTAGAAATTATCTAGCAATAACAAAGAGAAAATCTATGAACTGGGGTTTTGGAAGATAATGATTCCAAAACAAAGAAGCGGTTATGAAATGGCAAAATAGAAAACATTCTTTAATCCTTTCTTATTTGTCATTTTAGGAATTTTATCGATAAATGAAATGGAGAATAAATAAATAATTAAAATGAATACCAAGGCGCAGAAGTGTCAGTCGTGGAGTCACTATGATGCAAGACCGATTTTTCTGTCTCCCTGTGTCCATATTTCACCCTTCCCATATTTTATTTTCCTCATTTTGACCTTTTTTATTTTTTATTTTTTTTTTGGCAGGGATCCGTGTTAAAAAACAAAGAAATAATAAAAAATCCAAATGATAAATGGGAAATATGAAATGTCAAAACATAAACACGAAGAGACAGATTATTCGGTGTACTATGATGTCAGAAACATGTTAGATTTGACATTTTTTACCTAGTTATGTACAAAGTTAAATACAAATCACAGCCATGCCCCAAATAAGATATACTATAGTTGAACTGTTATCATTGGGGTTCGTGCTTCAAAATCTATAGATGTGAAGTGTTTTGTTTATTGTTGTTTGCTTTACATCATTTTTTATTTGGTCATTCTTGGTATCTTCTTACTTTTGAAATTAAGTTATCTGCTCACATTTACCTTTTATAGATCAAAAATGGTTTAAACATTGTTCCTAGTCAGAAATAAAGCTTAAGTTAGATGAATTAATAATATAAGATCGCACATATGGACATCAAGAAAACACCATACGGTGTCCCAAAATAAGTGTGAATACTTTATTTTTTAAATTTACGAAATATTGTTCTTAGAGCATTTTACCCTTGTGTGCATACTCTCAATAAATAAACTGTACTACATTAAAATAGTTCAAACATCAAAGCATAAATTAAGTATTAAACTCTTTGACGGACATTAGAAAAACTTGATATTGTTCTCCAACCCTGCAGGTTGCATTTAGAGGCAGATTTGATTGCCGAGTTCGAACTTTAAGTATAAACACAAAAACATAATTCACATACGAATTCTTAGCACATATTACACAGATTTTTTTCAGTATGAAACTTTTGAATTTAAGGAAGGATCTCTATACAAGTAATCCATATTTGTCTTGTAAACCATTCAATCTGTGGTAAGGTATTTTGGCATTTTGTCTATCACATTTCATAGATAAGTTTTGTTGATAATGTTATAACGTGGCCAACAAGATTATATATCAAAGAATCCTAACGATACCAGACAAATATTTTATATATGAATTTATTGGAAACTTGGCTGGTTTAGACTTGAACATGTTATAGTCGTCAACATTGAGACACTAAACATAATTGTTTTTGTAGTTTTATATGTAGTCGCAATATGTTTGATTGAGGTTTAAAAGGTGATCGGAACTAAACGATCGTTAAAGTAATTTGGTACTATAGATTGGACTGATTTTTGGTGAAGGATAACCTAAATTGGTGGCATAAAGATCTTTGATGGCAAATGATTATTTTGCCTTTTCATCTTTTCCGAAAAGTCAGTCATGTGAAATATGCGAGACGATAGTTATAATTGTAATAAACATTAACTTGTACATGAGTTAAGTTTTGAATAGAGGTTTATCCTCTTTGAGGTGTGATGTTCAAATGCATACCCATTGGCATCTGTAGAAGATTATTTATAGATGCATCATATAGAGAAGGTAATAAAAAAATGCCGACCATTTTTACGTGTCAGTCAAGGAGCAGAGATGAAAATATTTATCACATTAACCGAGTTGATGAAGGGACGGAATAAAATACATGTACCTTCAGCCATGCAGTGTTGCAGTCCAAGTTCTCAAGCCTATTTGTCAACGTAGAGTTTTTTACAAGGTCTTAATTGTAAATCATGCCGCATGTCTTTTTAATAAAATGAACGCGCATCGAAATAATTGAATGAATTTATGTCTGAACTATGACCGCAAATTGTTGGAGTAACTTGTCTTTCATTTCAACGATAGGCATAGTTTACATACCAATCCGTTAATAGTATCAGCTGACTCACAATTTTATACCCTACTCTAAGAGTGGGATCTATATTGCATTCACCTTTCTGATTACTTTCACAATTAGTGCATGCCCTTATTACATAACATGTTACCACAAATCAATATCTCGGAGGTGACAAGGGGTGGTGGTCGAAAATTGCTACAAAATAAACCCGTGAACCCTTCTCTATACAAATTTGAACTGCCACATATGTTACAAACATTACTTCACATATTTACTAGTGGAATTTGAACTGAATGAGACTAGATGCATCGACAGTGTATGCATGCATCACTCGTATTACTATCAAACATTATTGAATTAATACAAAATTTACATGCTTCTTTAGAGTTGAGAAACGGATCGATTGTCTGAATGTTGTTTTCCATCGTCCAATGAAAACATTTCCTACATATTCGAGTTGATAAAATATAAATAAAGAATACAAATAGGTCGACTTTGATCGACGTAGATGACGCAAATTTTGGACTACCACTGAAAAAAAGGGGAATGTTAGATAAGGCAAATATTTGCCCTTTCCTTACAGCCAAGCGGACAACCTTTGCATGAAAACTGAAAAATAGGACGAATTTCTATTCCACGGATTATGCTCGGGGGTTATTGACAACAGTAAAGAACCACCGATATATGATGGTTACTAAAAGGAACAAGTAATTCACTACTGTTTAAATAATTGTATATCAATTTTCAGTGACATTATTGCAGCGATGACTTTAATTTTTTTATATCGCTTTTGAAGTTACTTTTGGGTTAAATGTACATTTCTAATTTAGAAATCGCAATAGTGTCGTATCGACCGAGGTACATAAAATAACTCTTTATAAAAACCAGGCTTAAAATTTTGTACCCAAGACACCCGTTTCGTCTACAAAAGACTCATCAGTGACGCTCAAATAAAAACATTGCAACAGACCAAATAATGTACGAAGCTGAAGAGCATTAATGACCTAAAATTCCGAAAGGTTTGCCAAATACAGCTTAGATAATCTATTCCTGGAGTAGAACATTTTTAGCATTTCGAGCAATGTCATTCGAGATGTCAGAAAGTATGTTCTGCTCCTAATTGGAAAATGACATTTGCAAATCTTAAGTTATGGTGTTTGTCATGGATCATGGTTTTTAGTTATTCATTTGCGTCAGTTTCTAGATTAAGAATAAAATATTAAGTTTATGCTACAATTATTTTGTTCTAATCTAACTTTTCAAATTATAATTAAAATTCCAAAAATTAGATTAAGAATATAAAAGGTAATGAAAATAACAAAATACTACGGTCATTACTTTTGCAAATGATTTATAATAAAGCAAAATATAACCGTTAAATATGTGCAATATATTAGGAGGAAAACACAAATCAGTAATGTGTTTTTTCATAAAAATCTTTTGTCAAACTATGTATCGGGTTTTTTTAAAAATAAATGACTAGATTTGATATATTAGGCATGTTTTTGTTTTCATCCTATTTATATTTATCAAAGTTGTACATGTATCGATACAAGTTTGTTGTGTTGTTAAGGTACACGTGTATATGGTATTTATAGATAGGTCTGTTTGATTGGATATATAAAAGAATACGGGTAGAATTTCATGCATGGGTAGTTTGATAGTAGTTTAAGTCATTCGAGTAATTGTAGTCAAGTGTACTAGAGGCTTTTTCCAAATAAATAATTATAACATTATTTATTTACAGGTTGGTAGTCAAGGATGGGTCGCAAATATTGAAGCGCTATGTAGAGACAGACATTTTTCATTGAGATAAAATTAATTACGTGTATTTATTATCTGAATAAAAATTGTACTTGACTATTGCAAATGGCTTCTCCCATGTGAGAGGTTTTTTTTATTATATTGATAAATATTTTATGTTCGGTTGAGTTTACGAATTATTACATAACAGTGAAATGTCTTATGATCGATCAGTAAGTGGTATACACATTTAAAGTTCCTTAAGTAACTTATATGATCAACCAGGAAGACATCCTTTTTTACAAATCATATATTTTACAATTAAATTGTTATAGAACGGCTTTGTTTAATCTAGTGTTCTGTAAGTCAAGTGAGTATATTGAATTATTTCATATATATTTCTAAATTTGATTATCCAACTGATATTGCAATCCCATCTGACAAGGTTCTTTCACGACAGTTGTTTCCTTTCTGTCACTTCCTTTTGGATTTGGTGCTCACACTTTTTAATCATTTGGCTTTCATAAAGGTAATTCTAGACAGCGTGTCGTAAAATTTTTTTTTTAAACGATGATATTACCACTACTTAATCGGTCAATTAAATGTAATTACATGATCTAAATAAAGTATTTTTTATTATAATTTTTGTTTATACAAACAATAAAACTAAAACTAGCATGTATCTCCTT